AGTTGTGGTGGTTTGAAAGAAAATACCCCCCAAAGGGAGTGGCACTGTTAAGAGGTGTGGCTCTGCTGGAATAGGTAAGGGTTTGTTGGAGGAAATTTGTCACTGTGGGGATGGGCTTTGAGGTCTCCTATGCTCAAGCTACACCCAGTGACCCGATTCACTTCCTGTTGCCTGTGGATCAGATGTAGAACCCTCAACTCCTTCTGTAGCACCATGTCTGCCTGCACCCACCGTATGCCACCATGATAATAATGAACTAATCCTCTAAAACTGCAACCTAACACAATTAAATGTTTTCCTTTATAAGAGTTGCCATGGCCATGGTGTCTCTTCATAGCATAGAAATCCTAACTAAGAAAGAAGTTGGTACCAGGGACTAGGATATTTCTGCGATCGGCCTGACTGTGTTTTTGTTTATAGGAATACGGACCTTGGGACTGTGGGTTAGAAAAGCAGTCGAATGCTTTAAGTTCTAATTAATGGGCCATCCTAGTGGAAGGATGGGAGACAGTGGTGCTGAGTGGGATTTGATGAACTGTGAGTGTCTTGCTCAAGAGGTTTCAGAGAAGACTTTTAGAATGCTGACTACAAATTATTCTTGTAATATTTTGGTGAAGAATGTGGCTGCTTTTTGCCCTTGGCTGGAGTCTGCCTGAGCCTAAAGTGAAGAGTTTTGGATTAATTCCATTGGCAGAAGAAAATCTCAAAACAGCCTAATATAGACTCTGTTGTATGTTTATTACTGTGAACTTTAATGAAGATATATTATAAAAAGGAGCAAGATGAGCAAAGAAAAAATTAAAAATGTAAAATTTGAGGAGAAAAGGAGCCCAAGGAAGTAGAACGGAGCTAAATTCTGTGTTCAAGGAGATAAACAGATTAAGAAATGGAATAAAGAGAGTGGTGACCTCAGGGCAAGATCCCACCCAGCTAAATTTCCAACTTGTAAAAAGGAATTAAAGAAAAGCTTAGATCTGGGTGTGGTGGTCCATATCTTTAATCCCAGCCCTACGAAGGCAGAGATTGGTAGATCTCTGAGTTTGGGGTCAGCCTGGTCTATAGAGCAAGTTCCAGAATAGCCAAGTTTAGTCAGTAAAGGAAACCGTTGAAAACAGAAAGCTGGTGAAGAATGTAATTAAGTGGGCCATGTTCCAGACCCAGCAAGCAGCAGAACTTGGCAGTTTTGACTGTGTGGATCTGACTTTGGCGTCAAGGGGAAACTAAGGAAAGCTGCTGAGGCCAGGTGTGTGTCAGGGGTGTCCCCGAATGGAAGCCTAGAGAGGCCATTATATGAAGCTGTGTAGGTGAAGCCCAGGTGGCCTTGGAGACCCCAAGATTTTGGAGATGCCAGAATTGGGGGATGCCTGCCGAGGAGAACTGCTAACAGGGAGCGGAGCCAGCACAAGAGAGAGAAGTGTGTTGTAATCAATAAAGCTGAAAGAAGTTGGGGATCTGAAGATTGTTTTGACATCAGACTTGGAGATGCAGAGTTTGGAGTTTGCCCAGCTGGGTTTTGGTCTTGCTTTGGTATAGTATTTCCTCACTATGCTCCTAAGGTCATTCTCTGCAAGAGCAGTACACACCCTTAATTGCTGAACCATCCCTCCCCAAATTTATTTTTAAGTTTTTAAGACCAGCTTTCACTGTATAACCTGGCTGGCCTGTAACTTACTATGTAAACCAGATGGTCTTGAACTCACAGAGATCTCTTGTCTCTACTTCTGAAGTAATGGGATTAAAGTGTGCCACCAAGTCCAACTACTTTTTTTCATGTGTTTTTTTATCTATGTTTTTAAATGGTCAATGTAATAAGAATTTATTTGCAAGACTAGGGCTAGGTAGGTAGTGGTAGAATGGTTGCCTGTTTATAGGAATACATGAAAGTGGAGAAAAATAGCAGAAAAACTAAAAAATAACAAAATTCCTGAAGAGAATCCACCTAATTCTCACTGTAGCTTCTTATTTTCCTGTTTTTCTATGGAGGGGATTAGTTCTATATGTGTGAATGTTAAACAAGAGCTCTATCACTGAGTTGCTCACAGCCTCTGGGTATCCTCTAGCTTGTACCCATATGTCTAGGGGACAAAGAGAGTCAACAGCATGTGCCAAGAGAGTGGACAGTTTTACTTTTCTTTGTGTTGCATGTTGCTCCAAAATGTTATATTATCTAATCAGTCTGTGATAATTTCACTTCAGAATACTTGTTTTAAATCATAATATTACCTATTATAAAATTAAGAATACATTATATTTTTTTTGAGACAGGGTTTCTCTATAGTTTTAGAGCCTGTTCTAGAACTCTCTCTGTAGACCAGGCTGGTCTCAAACTCACAGAGATCTACCTGCCTCTGCCTCCTGAGCACTGGGAGTAAAGGTGTGAGCCACCACTTCCTGACTTCATTATATTTCTTAAGCAATAGACTGCTTTAAAAAACAGTAAATTGGTTATTGACAATAGCTTAACTCTGAGTAGAATAAGATGAGGAATGCCAGCGTGACTTGGAGGCTTCTATTTCCTCTTTAATGTCTTCAAGTAACTCATAGCATTTAGATTCAGCTTCACTTCTGTTAGGTGGACACAGCCTGACTTTCAGAATATTTTGTCTCTTTCTCTATTTTAGGTATTATAGTTTTTCATGTTTTTTTTCATACAGTCTTTTTGGTCTTGTGCTCTTATCCATGAAATCTGATGATAAGAAGGAAGTGGTGGAGCTGGAGGGGACAAGAAGAAAAAGAGAAGGGGTCAGAGTCCAAATTTATTGTTTGTATTATTTGAAAAGGCACCGTTTCTCAGAATCTAAGTGCTCTGGTGGGAAACTCCCAGGGTGGCTTCCTCTAGGAGTGTCCCAGATTTGCCTTCACAGTCTGGAAACCCCCAACTGCAATGGGTGTTTTCTCTGCTCTTTCCTTCCTTTGGAGGCAACAATAATGACTGGAAGCCAAGGACTACAGTATCAAAGATGAGCACTGAAGTTTTACTGACTAGCTAGTACTTGAATGACTTTAGTGGGTTGGTGCTATTTATCCCTAAAGATACCAATACGTCACCACAATATGGAAGCAACAAATGAGATCATGTTTAATAATCTTAGGCAAGTTTCTGAAACATAAATTCTCACTAAATATTACTTTTTGTTATTAATTTACTAATTTACTCACACACTATATATTTATTAAGCATCTTTCTGTGCCAGATAGCTGGGCATACAAGTGAACTAAAACACAATCATGGTCTTCATGAGTTACTGGGGATGTTAGACAAGCAGATGATCCTATTGCTAGATGAATAGGCTTTAAAAGATTTTAGAAGCAAGAACTGGACAGAAGGAGTAGGGTCTCCTGGACCTAATAGGAGCTTCAATATAATTTTCATTAGGATTTCAAAATATTTGAGTCAGCTTTTGGATAGCCTTACTATACACAGGTACTCTGTAAATCCAAGTTATTCAGAATGGAAACTTCTAGAATAAAATGAAATGGTTTAAGATCTTTCAGTAGGAGAAGGGGAATGATCCCACCCCTAACTAAGAAGCTATATGTGATTGATACTGCCCAACAAAGAGAAAAACCAGTTTTTTCCAATGGAGTCTCATTGGACAAATTAACCATACTTTAACGCAGGCAGGCCCCATACTCAGAAGTAGTTTGCACACACAAAACTAATTAGTCGGTATTTTTGTGGACTTTTTGCTTCATTTGCTTTATTTTGGCATATTCTGTCCCATTGGTCTTTTGCTTATTTGCTTTGATTCTTGTTTTTGTGTTGTTTATTTTTGTGAGTGTGTGTGTGTTATGTATGTGGGTATATTTTTTGAGAGACACACAGATAGAGAAAGAACATAAAGTTGGATGGGTAGGAGGTGAGGAAGAGGATTTGGGAGGAACTGAGGGAAGGTTTCTCTTATGATCAAAAAAGAAGACAGAAAGAGAAATTTCAGTGGGTGAAGGTACAGTAAGTACATAGCCTCGGCAAACACAGAAAAAGGGAATAACTTTGAAATTTTACAGAATTCTTTGAAAAAAGCACTTTTAATAAACAATTTTGAAAATTTATTCCATGGAATGTCCTGAGAATTCAGTGACAAACCTGGAATATTCGGAGTGATTAAGTTTCCTGAGGACACACAGCTCAGTCCCATTCTTGATCTCGTTCAACCAAATCTTGAGAGCAAGAGAATGAGTGGTACCTTCATGTGTCTCTGAGCTCAAGAAGGAGGGAGGTATCCAAGAATCACAGTGGGGAAACCCAGGAACTGTGGTGTGCGTATGGAAAAAGACGGGAGTCAGAATTTAACTATGGGTTTTGGATTGTTCTCAAGGAGAATGTTTGATTTGCAGGTCCTGAGTCAGGATTGACAATGTATTAGAGAAGAACCAAGAACCCAAAAAGTGTGTGTGTGTGTGTGTTTAAAATTTTATAAGAAAAGTTTTTTAGAGGTAGGGAGACATTAGGAATGGCCTACACTTATCTAGTTTTATAGACCTATGTTTAAAGAGGGTAGCATATTTCCATGCTATAATGTATGTAGCAAGTGGTACCCCAGGACACTAAGTCACGACTCTGCAATCCAGGCTCAGTTTCTGCTGCATCTCATGCATGTGGGTTTCATACAGTCTTCCCCTTTAGTGGGAAAAGGCTCCGGACAGCCTGGTCAGTCAGCACCAATCCTACCTGTCCCCTCTGGGTATCCTTGTTCTTAGAGAGGCCCGGTACTCTTAAACACAGTGAGAGAGGGCTACCATACGTCATGAATTATCAAGCCTATGAGGGTCTAGGTTAGTGGCTGGGCAGAAACAAGGCAGGGTTAGGAGCCCTTATTATAGAGGAGTTATTTTATGTTCAGAATCTGGAGTACAGATGGAAAGGTTAAAGGGAGAAATCTGTGTACAAAGAGTGTTCATTAGTAACTCCACCCCAGTGAAAATGAAAGGAAAGTCTTGAGAACAAAGGTTGTTACTAAACTGGACAACGCAACAGTTTTGGGGATTTCCAGCCCAGCTTCTCACATATAAGCGGACCCGGAGTTCTTTCCTCACTTCACCTCTGGTAGCAGACATGGCTTCCTGCATCTGTGTAAGTTGGGGTCTGGTAAAAGAATGGGAAGGGAAAGTATTTCCATGCATTGGGAATATAGTTCCACAGTGCTGGAGGGGTCAATGCCTGGAAGGCGAGGGGGTTGGGTGGGCACCATTTAGGAGACAAGGCAGACAGACATTGATGATTGCACAACAGAAGGAAGTACTCTAGAGAGAGGTTGGTTATTTGGCTTGTTAAACATTTATAATATTGTATGTATGTATTTATTATCTGAGTGCATGTATACTCAGGGCCAGGGTCAGAAGGTAATCTGCCATAGTTAGTTCTGTCCTTCTCCCACCTAGGTCACAGGGGCTAAGCTCAGGCGGTGAGGCTTGGTGACAAGGGCCTTTCCCAGATAAGCTATTTTGCCAGCCAAACTTGAGAGAAAGGTAGGGCATTGTGCTTCAACAAGGCTGGCAAGATGTGAAATTAGGGAAATAATTCAGAGTTCTCAACCTCAAGCTTTTCTCTCCTTTCAAAGAAAAATTTCACAAATCTCATTTGTTTTAAATCATCAGTGATCAAACACATTACCTTAAACAAAAATATGTCCTCATGAAGAGAACCTGTAACCAGGGCAGTCCCCAACAAGGATGAAACCTTCACTGAAGGAGTGTCTGAAACATCCAGATTGGGAAAATGATTCTGAATGGAGTATGAGGAGGTTTGCAGACCTGATTTTCCCCATCTTCCAGAATTCTGCAGTGAATGAAATTAAACTCAGATATACTTCCTGTCTTCTGCGATTGAGATTCTTGTCTAATTAAAAGAGGATATCATGCTCTATAACAATAGTAATAAAAATACAAAACCACAGATTAACAACATTAAACACAGCATCACCACAGCATGGGCGTTATCAGAAATTAACAGGGACATTAATAAGGTGGAGATTATGACTTAATCAGGGTTTGTTCTGAATTAGTCACAGAGGGTATCCTATGAGGTTGAGAGTATCCTATGAGGGTGCCAAATCTTGGAAATCTGCTTTGGAGTTGTTTAGGAACCTATGTACATCCTTTGAAGCCCTGTAGTGTCTTTACTTTTAATATCTGGCTTAGGAAAGGCAAGTTAATGAGGTAGGAAATTGATAGTTACATTGGAGATATATTGGATACATATCTCAAGAGGAATGAGACTAATGTTCTAATTTGTGTTATAACATGGGAATTAAAAGTTTCAAGAGAGGGGGAGCTGCAGATTGTTGGGTAGGAGCTGGAGAGCCGAGCAGACAGAACAATGAAGGTGAGAAGTAGGTGTGGAAAGGTAGCAAGCTTTCTGGCTGACTCTCTCCGCTTTCTTTGCTTAGATTGTCCATTCTGAGCAATGGCCATCCATGACCTTTGACACCACCGAGAGCGACAAAGTGAAGAAGATAAACGAACATATCAGATCCAAAACCAAGGTTTCTGTGCAGGACCAGGTCCTTCTGCTAGGCTCTGAGGTCCTCAAGCCCCAGAGGAAGCTGTCATCTTACGGCATTGACAAGGACACAACCATCCACCTCACCCTGAAGGTGGTGAAGCCCAGCGATGAAGAGCTGCCCTTGTTTCTGGTGGAGTCAAACAATGAGGGGCAAAGGCACCTTCTCCAAGTTCGAAGATCCAGTTCAGTGTCCCAGGTGAAAGAGATGATCGAAAGTGTGACCGCCGTGAGCCCCAAGACTCAGGTTGTGACTTGCAATGGAAAGAGGCTGGAAGATGGAAAGATCATGGCAGACTACAACATCAGGAGGGGCAGTTTGCTCTTTCTGACAGGGCACTGCATCGGGGGGTGACTGTGGATGGGTGGTGAGAGGATCCAAGCCCACTCCCCTTAGCTCTTACCAGTCACACCCTTTGATGATTTCCGAAAGCTAATGAGAATGAAATAAAGATTGGAGATGAGTGGGGTGGATCAAAACTATTTGCCAAGCCTGTGATTACTTGTTTCTGACAGTTCACTGTGTGGCAGGATTGCTACCAAATGAAGAAACTGAAAGGTTAGTTGGGTGTGATGGTACACACTTTTAACTTCAGGACTTGGGAGGCAGGGACAGGTGGATCAATGAGTAATTGTTGAACCAAATTGATTTCTACTTATAGAGATTAGAGAAGTAATGTGTTATGATTTTTTTAAAACCCCAACAGCATCACAGACTAATAAATGATTTAGAAATTCATTCAATCATTATCCCCTCTTCTTATTTAAAGATAATTGGTATGGAATAAAATCTAGTACCTCCTCCACCTAACACCTAACAAAATGTTCATCTCTGGGTAAGGAAGGGAAGGGGTTAACTTCTGGTTTCTTCTGACGATAGAGCTTCCTTTGCTGTAGGATAACTTTCTCCATCTTCCGTCTGTTTTCTCCTCTGTCTCTATCCTGGTCACATGCAGGTTTTTCTCACAGCCTGACCATGGCTGTCTTTACCTTCACCAAGTCTAGTCCTTTCTCTTTTAAAACTAGTTAAAACTAGTTCACAAGCCATGCCCTGCAGCTGGGATTCCCACTTTAACCAGGCCTGACACAATCGCCTTATACTAGCAGATTTTCTTCATAGTTTTAAGTATCGAGTGTTCTGTGGTGGGCACTGGTTACCTGGCTAGTTTTGTATTAGCTGGGTTGGCTCCCCAAGGAGGGAAACCACATTCTGTTTCTGTAAGCTCTCTATGTAAGGTAAGACACTGGCCTCCTTGTTAACTTGAAGGACTGCACCTGATGGCTGAGCCATGGGATTTCTCACGGTCTTTTGTATGGAAGGCTGAAGGTCAACACTACGGTGTTCATCATCTTATCTCCATGCGAATTCTTCAGGGGTGGTTACAAAGTCTCCCGAGGATGAGGATGGCCCCCTCCTTTATCATGCTTCCCTTCAGTAGAAAGGCCTGGCATCCATTTACCCCATCACTATATATGTGTGTTTATGTATTTCCGGGATTTCCCCTCAAGAATCCAAACCTTAGCCGGTAAGAGAAAGAGATCTCCCTCTTTCTAATCCTGGACTCCTCGAGAACAAATTTGCAGATTCTCATGCAAAGGCAAACAATATGGGCATCCTAGTTCCGGGACCCTGCGCCTTTCTTAGTCCTCTCAGTGCCGGACCTGCAGCCTCTCCAGACTTCCCAAGAACCTCAGGGCCGCCCCCTTCACTTCTTTGTTGCGCAGTGTGTAGATGAGGGGATTTAGCGCGGGTGTGACTACCGTATAGAAGAGCGAGACAAACTTGCCGCGGCCCTGGTTGTAACTATGTGTAGGTTGCAGGTAGGTGTAGGTGGCCGAGCCGTAGAACAGGCAGACGGCGGTCAAGTGAGAGCCACAAGTGCTCGCTGCTTTCCGCCGGCCCGCGCGGGAGCGCATGCCCCAGACCGCGCGGCCCACGGCGGTGTAGGAGACCAGGATGACCGCAGAAGGCACCAACAGGATGACCACCCGCGCGGCGAACATCTGGCGCTCGGTGGCGCTGCGGCCGCCACGGCAGGCTAGCTGCAGCAGCGCGGGCAGTTCGCAGATGAAGTGGTCCAGACGGCGGGCCGCACAGAGCGGGCGCGCGGCCAGCAGGGCGGTCTGCGCTGCGGAGTTGGCCAGGCCACCGAGCCAGGAGGCGCTGGCCAGAGCTCGGCACAAGCGCGGTGAGGCGAGGGCGACGTAGCGCAGCGGGCGGCACACGGCAGCCGCGCGATCCAGCGCCATAACGGCCAGCAGCACGCACTCGGCGGAGCCCAGGGCCAGAGATGCGCACAGCTGAGCCATGCACCCGCCGCGCGGTAGCTGCAGCCCCGGGCCGCACAAGCTGACCAGCAGCGGCGGCACCACACTGGTGGTGAAGCCCACATCCACCAAGGCCAAGTGGCAAAGGAAGTAGTACATGGGTGTGTGCAGGCGCGGGTCGCGTATGGCCAGCAGCGCCAACGCCGCGTTCCCGGTCAGCGTTAGTAGGTAGCAGAGTAGGACCAGCACGAAGAGGACGGGTTCCAGCGAGGGCCAGTCTGTAAAACCCAGCAGCAGGAAGCGCTCCGCTGAGCTGTGGTTAGCCTGAGGGGAAACTCCAAGAAGGTTCGGAAGGATGAGACAAAGAAGTTTAATGCTAGTGGGCTTAGTGATTCAGGCCTTGTGCTCAGCAGGCAGAGCCTGGAAATCTTGGTGAGTTTGAGGCCAGCCTGGTCTATATAGTGAGTTCCAGGTCAGAGAGCTACACAGTGAGACCCTGGCTTATTGCTGTCCACTACAAGCAAGAATTCCCAGTGTGGGATAAACGGGGTAAGAGAGAAAAGCCCATGCCCAAATTTTAGCTTCATTACATAGCTCCATGATAGTATTCCTTCACAAGTACCTTCAAGGGAGGTAATGCCTCTGCTTAACAGATGAGCCAGTTCAAATTTTAGAAAGTCAAGTTGTCCTAAGTCTGTTGTTAATCAGGTCTGCCTCCCTCGCCCTGGCTGCACCTCCAGGAGTTAAAGAAGAGATTCAGAGCTGGAGAGGTGGCTCAGTGGTTAAGAGCACCGACTGCTCTTTCAGAGGTCCTGAGTTCGATTCCCAGCAACCACACGGTGGCTTACAGCCATCTATAATGAGACCTGGCACCCCCTTCTGGCTTGTGGGCACACATGGAAGGAATGCTGTATACATAATAAATAAATAAATATTTAAAGAAGAGATTCAGTGTCTCTACCAAGGGCAGCTATGAAGGTACTGAAGGACAAATTCCGCTCTGATCTTTCCTCCCCCGTTTTCCTTAAAAATCTGCATGGTCTAAAAGTCGTCTGAATGAGACTAGATGGAGCAACATTGCCTTTTTTGTTTGTTTATTTACGCAACAGTTAAAGCTGAAGGTAGGAGAACCCAGAGCAGACAAGCCAGTCACACTTCACAGGTGAACCTAACTCTGCTCCATGTGCAAACCAAAGCGGAAGTGTAAATGTCTATTATATAAAAACAGAATGTAATCTCAGCCAGTTAGGAGCAGCCGACAGATATATGTAGCTATAGACTTTTCACTGGAATAGACCAAGCATGATAACTGTAGTCATCAAATATTTTCTTTTACTTGATCCCTCTTCCCTCTCTTCCTCCCTCCCTGCCCGCCTCTCTGTTTCCTTTCTTCCCATCCTGCCTGCCCCCTCTCTCCATCCGTTTCTTCCTTTCACAGGCTCTTCAGTTCTGTTTGTAGCAGAGGGAGCTCTTGAACTCCTGACCCTCTTGTGTCCAGCTCCAGAGTGCTGGGGTTACAAGAGTGTCCTTGACTTTCTAGAATGTGACCCTGAGTTGCAAAACCATTTATTCTTAGAGCAATGTAACAGACTTACCTTCATGTCTAACCTCTGGCCCTGTGTTTAGACCTCAAGTTTAAGCTGGTGTCTTGCTCGTCTTCTGGATTCCCTGGGTTTGAAATGACAGAGGGAAAGATCAACAAAAGACCCAAATATTTGACTGTATTGGTTGCTGGAATGAATACCTGAGATCAGAGCCAGGCGCCTCAGGTTGAAGACAAGGGGTGGGTGCCATCCTGTTCAGCAGAGAGAAGATGCCTAAATTTGAGGGATTGCGGTACCGAGGCAGAAATGGGGACTTTACTGGAGAGTTCTGTAAGGGGCATAAACAGGTCAAATGCTTGTCTTGTTGTGGTAGCCAGTTAACCTTAGCTGGTGATTGCACTGAAAATATTCTTTTAAGATCTAATGGGAGAGAGAAAAATTAAGACTGCTGACACCTTCTCTCACTAGAGAAGAAACAAGAACCTACTTTCCCTGCTACTTAGAAGTGGGGTGAGGTGGTGGAGAATCTGTGTCCCACTCCCATAATTAGCCCTTCACCTGGAGGTGTCCAGAGAGACATTCCCCAAGGTGATGGAGAGGGAATCCTGGAGAGACTATCCCTTCAGGGTACCAGTCTCTTGCAGGCTCTGGAGGCTAGAGACCACATAATTTCCTCTTCCTGTTATTTCTAGTCATTCGCTGACTGACCTGCCGACCCTCAGCAAATCTGTTATGTCTGTAAAGCAGCCCTGATCTACTGGGGACACTGCAGACTTAAGACACAAATAAACAACATTTTAATGTATAGCCCAAGCTGCTGGGTGCCAGGATTGTTGGCATTGTTCCTCTCATCAGCATCATCCTCAGCTGAACACTGGTTTTTATCACCTGCTGCCTCTGTGATTGCTGTTAACCCCTCCATCCCTTCGGGCTCCTCTTTATTCAAGAATATATTATGTTTGGCCCACTCTTCACTCTTACTATAAATCTTAGTGAATAATTATCCCCACAGATCAAAACTTTGTCTCCTTCCATTTCCACGTTCAGTGATCTGGAAATTGCCTGCAGTTCCTCATCTCCCTCCTGTCTCCATGTCTCCCAGCCCAGACTGCCGTCAGCCATTATAATTACATCTTTGGTGCTGGCAAAACAGGACTGAGATGGTGGAAGGAGAGAGCCGACTCCTGCAGCTCGTCCTCTGACTTCCACATGTGGGCTGTAGCATACACACACCCATACCTTACTACCACTGCACACACAAAACAAATGTAATAAAAAGTTTAAAAATAGTAGTTACTTCTTTGTAAACTCTAAGCAATAGTTTCACTTTTTGATATTCTCTTGGTTAAATTACTGCCATATTTAAATTAAACTCTAATTTGATCCATTACCTATGCTTGTTTGGTTGGTAGTGACCAGAGAGAAACAGAGGTTTCACTTCATCCTGACAACTGACTGTGAAGGGCAGGGGCAAAAGCCATCCGGTATGTGTGTGTGTGTGTGTGTGTGTGTGTGTGTGTGTGTGTGTGTCTGTGTGTACATGTCTATATGTAGTGTAGTTGTTTTGTTTTTTTTTTTCAAGATTGGACCATTCCTTAAGGAGGATACAGGGAAACTCACAAGGCTCATAAAAATTTACAAGCATCAAAGAGCCACATCTGGAGGCTATGTGGGCAGTGGCCTTGGCGAGGACGGGAGACTCCTCGGTGATGCAGCTGTCCCAAAGGTGTATAGGGGACTTCTGTGAGTCCTTAACCCATGCTCAGGTGGGTTTTTCTGAGGTGTGCAGTCACCCATAGCCCTGTAAGTAAGCCCAGCAAGGGGCATTGCTTCAGTAAACTTCACTTGGGTTGGAATAATTTCTTTGGACTGTTGTTATTCTTTCTATCTGGGGTGAATAAAATAGAACACCTAAGAAAAA